GGGAAGTGTTCCTAGTTCTATCTGGGCCTACATTGTGTTGAACAGTAACTGCACTTCAATGTACTAGGCCTGGCACTGAGGAGTGAGGAGAAGTAGAGAGGAAACAGGGATTAGGCTACTAATAACCTGTATAACTCCTTAAGGAAACAACAGTTGCTAGAACTACTGTAATCCTATACAAAGAGGGAAGATGGTGATGGTAAAATAACTAAAATAAGGTAAAAGTCCAGGTAGAATGCCCTTATAGCTCTAGAAGACTAAAGGAGAGGTAAATAAACAGACTGATTTAATTAAATTTCAAATGTAATTAAATTCAGCTTAGCTGAATAGGGATATTCAGCCTGAAACAAAGGTAAATAAATGAGATAGAATAGAGGAATATAAGTAAAAATGAAGAGTAAAAGTAGAGTGTCCTTGTAGCTAGAGGAAACTAAAACGAAAGGTGTATAAGGACGTTGATTCAATTAAATGTACAATCTAATTAAATTCCACTTGGCTGAATAGGGATATTCAGGCTAAATAAACATATATAAACGACATGAGATAAAATAGAGGTAGACTCAAATCGAATTCTAGCCAGCACAGATAAAACCCAAGTATTTGGGTTTTGACGGAGAGTGAAACCAAGAGTGAGGGGGTAGAGAGAGAGAGAGGGAGAGAGAGAGAGAGCGAGAGAAAGAAATTGTTTAAACTAGTGATGGGGGTCTTTGACATATGCTTTGTAGAGCTTCGGGACCTCAGTCAAAAAATTTTTTCGAATCCATGATTCGGAGTGTGCATCAAACTGCTAAATTCATGTGATTTCAGTAAACGAGGCTCCTTTACACATCATAGCTGTTTCAAATTGATTCGAAATTTTAATGGTTCGATGCTAGGTCTCATGAACCAGTGTCTATGATTTGTATGTGATCTCCTATCCATTTTTATAAATTCGTACACATTTAGTGACGCATTTAATAAAGGGAGGAGGCATATTTAAAAGTCTCCTATTGGTCTTTAAGTTTACTGAAATATAACATATTAAAAGACCCTTAATATTTAAGGGTATTAGGGATCGTTAATTGCCTTTAATTGATTACACCTTAAGAGAGTCATCTTGCTGAAGCCTCCGCTCCCCAGAGCGCCGCTGGGGTTGGCAAAGGCGCCGGCGGGAGCACTTGCATTTTTTCCTAATAACAGCGAAAAGAACTTAAAATGCTCCGTCATTTTTTATCGTTCATATAAGTGTAATACATCATTTTAATCTGTGAAGGGTCTACTTTTATCTGTGTACACTCACAATATCAACAAAACATTGTGCTTTTGTAAAATAAAGAAAATAAACAGGGTGCGCTTTCAGCCGGCTCAGTCTCCGCAAACTTTTTTTTGAAACGCGTCACTAAAATGAACCAAAACTCAGTGAATACTTCACACACATACATGGGAAATATATCTACAGTATAGAAAGTTTGAAGTGTCTACTTTTAAATGAAGTAAGTCATGTCAAAACAAATATACTCTGTTAAAGTAATCAGTATGAAACCTACCCGAGATTCAGTCTTCCTCATCTGAGCTCATTATCTGTAATGTGATCACGCCCACGCGCAGCGCGTGCTATTTATACGGTAATCATCCACGTGAGACGTGCAAACCTGTAAACGCCCACATCACCTCCATAAACAAAGCGTGAAGATTCATCAAGTTCATCTCGGATACTTTTCGTTTCTGGAAGAAGATGCGCTGTGAGGAATAAGCCAGAATTTACCTCAAAAGAAGAACGCGATGCGCGGCTTGAGCAGCGAAGGAGATCATTTCTGACGAGTAAGTTTGTTTTATTTCTTGTATTAGTTGTTACTGTGTTATTGTGATGTAACTTGTACACATTTTACTAGCTAGACTTTAACCAAACTATAATTCTTGACTAGATATATGAAACCAAGTGAAACATTTTGAAATATTTTTCATTTCATTGGATTTTAAACGCCAGGATGTTTTTTGATGTTCTATAAAATATAAAACAGTATGATATAAAAGCAATATGAGTGCTTACACTCATTTTTTACTGTGAAATACCCTGTTCATGAATATATGTAGATGTTTATAACATGCTTAATATTTTAGCTTCTCAGATATAAAATGTTTTTGTATTGTATAACACATACAAAACATGCTTGTGTTTATGACTACAAAATCATGCTTTTTATTATTAGTTATGAGTGAGCAATATTATTGATTGCTAATGTAATAATATAATTGTTCCTGATATCAACATGCTAACAGAATTTTATTTTATTTATTTATTTATATATTTTTTGGTGACAAGATACCTTGAAGACTTCACTTCAAACTGTTTTTCTCTGAGAGTACTCAGAAGCTGTTCAACTACATTGTGCTGATATTCTACACAAATATGGTAAAATAAGCTCCATGGCTACTGATGATAGGGCTGTTTTTTCTTGAATCCATGGAAATATCAGGTAAGGTTTACTTGTTTCAACAGTTGAACAGGATCTGTTTCCAGGAATGGCACAAAGGTGTGTGACTGTTCAAGTCTCAGTGTTTAGATCAATGTGTTCAATAATGTGTCTTTGACCTTCACTGTGTATATTTTGAATACTGTGTTTTAAATAAAATATAAATAATCAAAACCCCCATTATTTTAGTCTCCTCACATTCTCTCTTACCTGCCTCACAGTCACTCTGATGGCCCATTAAGGGAGGGGCTCTTTGTCTCTCAGGTGTGAATCACTAAATATTCATGGCTATTGTCACTCCCTCGCATACGGCCTTTCTAACACAAAACATGTCTTACAAAAGTTAAATCAATATATTATTTTTTTGTGAATGAGTGAGCCGGATGATCTTCACATTATTTTATAGCAAAACCTCTAGTCTACCACATCCAGTTCTCAAAAGTTGTGTGGACAAATATTCTGTATGTGTTTTATGGCCTTATTTCAGTGACTTAAAAAATGTAGTTTTTCACTAACCACGCATAAACGCTGTTTTCTCAGTCAACAGAGGATGGCATCCTCTTATGTCTAAAGTGATTTCTTAGATATACAATGGTGTTCTGATATGCTATATATTGTGGTCTAATGAAGTCAGGCCTTATGTGGTTTCATTAGTCTAAATAGGTCTAATATGGTCTGAAGTAATCTGATGGGGTCTTTAGGGGTTCTGATATGGTCTAATGAAGTCTGTCAGGATCTGATATGTTTTTCTGTTAAAGTCTTTTAAAGGTTATACAGAGTCTGTAGTGGTTTAATAAATCTGGTTTAAACTTGACATGGCTTTGTAAAGTCAACAGTAAAGTTTGTCAAGACAAACTGACATCTATTAATCTTTACAATTTAAACATTCTTTTACTCAAATATTCAATTATTCTTTTAATGAACACATTCATTCTAAAGGAACTTACACAACACTGAAAGTATACATTTGAGCAGTTCATGCATTCCTTGGGATCTGAGCCTTTGACCTCTGGTTATAAAAACATCAATGCACATAATATTGACATTGCCATTGACAACTCAATAATTATAAAGAGAGTCCACATACTTTTAACTATAAAACTATTTTACAACATTTAAGCATAAACCTTTTTGTGAAATCATCTTAAAGTTTATTCATAACATGCATTTAATCAAGTATGTACAAACGTGTTTTGGTAGTGTATGTCTCTACCTGCTGTTGTAAGGCAGTTCTCTTCATCACTGTTATCTTGACAGTTATCCTGTCCATTGCATAGAAAACTGCGATCTACACACCGCCCATTATCACAGTGGAACCGTGCGGATGAACACACCAAAGGGTTTGCAGCTATGGAGTGGGGAGAGAGATTAAGATATTTACAGTATTATTAATGTTATTGTTTCATATATCTCTCTCTGTCTTTCTTCCACTATAATAAATAAAATAAGATTTTATTTCATATTTATTTAAATTTAAATTAGCTGACAAATAAAAAGTGCTCAATTTTTATAACATATAAAAACTCCATCCCTGATTATTGTTACTGCCTCACAAACTTCATTCCCCATAATCCTTTGCTCGGACTCATTATAGCTGATTGTTTCCACCTGTTGCTTGTTACCTTCTCAGTCTCTGCCTATATAAACCAAATACCAAACACCAAGGTCCTGTGGCCATGGTTGCTAGTCCTGTGCTTTTGCCACCTTCCTGTCTTGTGGTTCTCGTGTCAAAGCAAGTTCACAACATGGCCGCTGCACCAGAGCCAGTTCACAACATGGCTGCCATTCCAGAGCCTCGACCCGTCATAGCGGCCATGCCAGAGTCTCCAGCCGTCTTGGCTGCCAAACCCGAGTTTCCAGCTGTCATGGCCACCCCGCCAGAGCCCCCAGCCGTCATGTATGTCACAGTCTTCAGCTGTCACGGATGCCACTCCAGTGTTCCCGGTCATCATGAATGTTGCATTTGAAGACACCCAAGTGTTCCAAATGCGTTTGAGGCTGGCTTCCAGTTTGGCGGACCCACCACCAGGGCTCCAGACTAACATTTGAGAGCAGTGGCACCAGCGCCACTAAGTTCTACAGATGGTGGCATCAGGAGCAGATTTGGTAGCGCTGGGGGTGGTGTGCGGGAGTATTAAAATATAGATCATTTAATCATAAAATTATTATTGTTTTGCAATAATAAGTGCAATTACTAATAATATTACGTTCATTTCTTGTTTATTTTTCTTTTGTTTATTGTTTATACAGAGTTGACAGTAAAGCACTAAGCTTGAGTTAAGATGCATGCAAAATTTACTTTTATTAACAACAGTAACGGGTGCAAAATCAAATTCTTATATAGAAAATGTATACATTCCACTCTTATTAAATGCACCATTATTCTTCTAGTGTATGGAACTGACCAACTTCAGTGATTATGTGTGATTTAGTAGCAAATTGAAGAAAAGGCACTTTGTGACTTTTCTTACTTCATACACAAAGTGTAACATTCTGACAAAATCTGATTTCTTGATGATTTGATATTTTATAATAGTGAGTTTATCATTTCAAAATATAAAGAAAAAGTAGAAATTAATGACTAATAAGCCAACAAGTGCTCCTCTGCTGCTGTCTACTGGTTATAATTGTGATTTGATGTATTTTTTAAATTTTACTTAAGTCTTTGCTTACCACAAAGTAGGCTATATTTTGGTCATCCCATTAAAAATAACATTCAAACTGGATCATTTTAGAGCCCGCGGCTAAAAATAACTATTGTTCTTAAATGTTTAAAGGGGTCATATGATGCGAATTTCAATTTTTCCTTTCTCTTTGGAGTGTTACAAGCTCTTGGTGCATAAAGAAGATCTGTAAAGTTGCAAAGA